CAATGAGTGTTTCTTTTATTATTTAGACTGTCGTCATTTAGAAATAATTATGATAACAAGTAGCAGTTTTGTGGATAGTCCTTGCACTCACTCTAAACAGACGCTATACATACATTGTAATACTTCACAGTAAAAATATGAACATGGTACATGTATAATAGACTAGTTGGCTTTTAACTTTTATATTAAGTGTAGAACACAGAATCTAGACATATCCTATTTAATAGCTAAGTATTCTCCAGATATTTTTGATTGCTAATCATTTCAGTGAAAAGCTCTTTGACGATTAGTGTTAGAAGAGATATAAATGAAATATTAGCACCCTTATTAACATTCTTACTCGTATGCTGGCAACAAGACATACTTCAAGTGTGTTTGTAAAGTTACTTTAATGAAGGTCTCATTTAGTCCGTGTAAATATCGAGTGTTATTAAAAGTAATAGCTATATGTTTATTATTAAAGTGAAACATCAAAATACGATTAAAGTTAAACATTATAAAACATATATCTAAACACTTGATATCGCTCGGTCATCCAATAAAGAGTACAATTTTCTTCTTACATTTTTGAATTTGTTCTGAATAAAATTTAGATATCACAAAAAAAAAAAAACAACAACAGAACAAAAACAAAAAAAACAACAACGAACTGTTCATAAAAAGGTACTTCATTTTGTAATATATCTTTCACGAGATGTCGTTCAAGTAATATGAATGTCCAAAATCAGCTTGTTGTTTCGATTCACTGTTATAAAGTATTCTACATATGAAACGAATCTCTATTATACTAAAGGAATGTTAAATGTATTCTTGAAACATGCTTGAACATTTATTTAAGGCGTGTTCTGGATGTTGAAAGGATTACCAGCAGACATTATAAAAAATATAATCTCATCCATACGTGAATAGTCATCCAACATTTAGGTGCTTAAGTATACTTTCGATACTTTGTTAATATACATGTCATTGTTTTGGAAAAATATATGTATGAAAACTGAATAGGACCAAACAGGATGCAACTAAATATAACTATGCCTTTCTTCTAATCATGATCGCTATTCAGTACGAACTTATATGTTTACTAAAACGATACTTGGCTTTGTTAGGATTAATAGTTTAAATGCCCATTTTAGATATTAGCATGGATAGTTTTCTCTAGTACAATGATGTTTATTCAGTAAATATATGTAAATATATGTAAATCATTCGTCAGCCACGAAAATAAACCTGATTTTCCAGTCAGACAACTTAAAGAATTTGAATCGAATTAGAAAAGAAATATTGATAGCATAATTATATTGTAATTACTTGAAAACTGACAAGCTGTAATTTCTTTAATTTATTGTTTCTCCACAAGAAATACTAAACAATTAATTCATATAATTAGCAATCGTATACAATGTCTCACGTCTTTAAAAACTGTTATTGACATTATGCCCACTAAACAATTAATACCCCCTTACAATAACATTACCATAAAATCAATTTCATTTAATATGCTACAGCAATAAAATGTAATACATTTAAGCTTCATTTTCTCATTTTTCAATGAAATCAATTACCATCTTCAAAGATGTAGAACAATCAATAATGGGCAAAACTATAAATTCACTTATACTTTAAAACAAACAAAATTTATGAGGCTTGTCAGGTTTTACCTAATATATTAAACCTTCTTAGGCTTTGAACATCAAATTAGTTCATTCGAATAAAAATACATCGCTGAGGTCATACCTGTATTAAAGAGCCGCTTTAAAAGCATTATCAATAGAAATTAACAGCCTCTGAAAATACTGATTTTTCGGCAAAACTAATTGATGGTGCTCATAGATTTGAAAAGTCTGTTTTTTAAACAAACATATGCCTTGATCTTTTAACGCTAATTTTATGATTGTGTTGATTAGAAATCATCAGTACTAAGCTTCTCGGGTACCTTCCATCACCATTTAAAAACAAATCAAATGTTATCCTTCTTCTATCCTTATTTTCTTCTTTGAATTTTTACGTTAACATTTTAAAAATATATGAAGATATTATTTCATTAAATGGTTTTCTCTATTTCCCTTTCATTTCACCTCTTAAAATAGATAATGATAAATGTCAAGCTTTAAATCGTTTGTGTAGGCATTTAATAATCAATTATTTTCTGTCTATGAACTCATACGATTAAGTGTTTACGAATAATTATAGTAAGTGCTTGAAATACTCTAAACTAATTCCCCGTAAAAATAGTAAGAAAAATGAGAAAATGTGTTACCGATGATAAAAAAGAAGTAATTTATTTGGCTGAGAGCAACACTCTATTTTTATGTAATATAATGGGTTTTCCTTTATAATTCGGCGACTCGTGCAGAGAAAGAAATATTTTGATGGAAAATCAAAACTGAAAATAAAAATAATTTTCAATTCAATATCTTGTAGTAAGCGATGTCCTATTACCGGTATTTAATTTTTATTTCTCTTGTCGATTTTAAATAAAAGATAAACATGTGCCATGTATGAATATAATTAAAACGTCTTGTACTTATTCATGAATAGTTATAAAAATTAGTACAGACTATTATAGATATTCTTTAGGCTTATTGCTATTCACATATTTAAAACTTACTGTGTGTCATATTTGTATCGTGTTTGAAGGATAAAGGTAGATTGGTAGAATAATGCGGAGATTCAATGCATAAAACATGGCCAGGTATTTTACATTTGTTCTATTACATTTAAAATACTCCGTGCATAACAATGTTCAAGATAATGGACGAGACAACATGTATCATTATTGCGTGATTTTCCTGTTAAATCAATTTGTAAAAGACAGACATTTATCCTTTAAGCAAACAATTACTTGACCCAGTACCGGACATACACGCCTTTTAACGCCTTTTTCACCCCACCCTATTTGTTGTCTCAAATGGTGAAAAATTGCCTTATTTAAGTTGTGCTCCTTTCTGTTTTGGGGGGATTTGAAAAGGGGCGGTAATACCCCTCATCGCCAAGAACATTTTGGACCTGTGAGAGGCTAAAAATGACCCCAGGTCGATATTAAGGTAACGTGAAACCAACGCTGGAAAGCCTTTGACTCTATCTCAATCCATTGAGAATTTGAAGCACTTTAAAATCAATTTTGATGGAAAAAATCAACGCAAAATGGCGATTTTTGGCAATCTTGAGATGTCCACTGGTTGCCATGGTAACAGGAAATTTAAGACTGAGCATGACGATACTAAGGCAATGGTCCAGGCAACATTTGTGCCAAGTTTGATTAGTATTGAAGCAGTTTTTATAGTTTTATAGCAATTTGAACTTGTAGCGGGAGACTTTTAAATGAAAACATCCGTTTTTCTCAGAAGGCTCATGAGGTAATGGGTAAATGAAATATATTATAAAAAATCTACAAAATATCAATTTTTTTATATGACATTGTTGGGCCATGTTGACACATGGAAAAACGCGATTTCTGGTAATTTCAGGTATTTTCATCATTTTCTGTTAACCCATTACATGATATACACGATATTTTAAGCCTCCCCCCCCCCATTTGTTGTCTCAAATGGTGAATGGCCTTATTTAGGCCACCAACACTTGTTTTTCTTTGAGAAATGTTGCTTAAAAAAGTGACCACTTTTTTAGGCGCCGCCCCCCATCCAAAAGATACATCAGGGGATTGCCAGATTAATGGGGTGGGGTTGAAGGGGGCGGTAGTCCCCCTCATCGCCAAGGTCACCCTCATTGCCAAGAAAATTTTGGACTTGATAGAGGCTAAAAATGAACCCAGGTCGATAATAAGGTAACGTGTAACCAACGCTGAAAAGTCTTTGACTCTATCTCAATCCATTGAGAAGTTGCAGTACTTTGAAATCAATTTTGATTGAAAAAATCAACGCAAAATGGCGATTTTTGGCAATTTTGAGATGTCCCATCGTTGTCATGGTAACAGGAAATTTCAGACTGAGAACGTCGTTACAAAGGCAACATTTTTGCCAAGTTTGATTAGTATTGAGGCAGTTTTTATAGTTTTATAGCAATTTGAACTTGTAACGGGAGACTTTTCAATGAAAATAGCCGTTTTTCGCAAAATGCTCATGAAGTAATGGGTTAGGCTAATGGGCAAATTATGTAAACTGTAAGGTTGTTCCAGAAATTCTATTTATATGAATATTTACAACTTAGTCTATTACATACCATTGGAACTCAACTAAGCTGGTCAAAATGTATTTGTATACCATCCGTTTGCAATGTTTGCAGGTAATTTATATTTTAACAACGCGTATCCAATTTTTATGTTGTTTTTCTTGTGGCATTAAGATAATTAAAACTCAAAGTATGACCACAAGAAACAGAATTAAGTTTAATACAATTCGTATTAATTCGTTATTTTCCCTGTTATCCTTTTGTCACTGTTTTGGATATGTTAGTTTATACAAATTTGTGCAGAACAACTATGTTCTAAACAAAATTAAATGTGATATTTAAACGCTATTCATATCGTTTAAATTGACTTGTAATGTAAAAAGATGCAATTATCGTTCTTGGAAATTTAACGCTCATTAATGCAAAACAAGAGATCCTATGCAAACAATACTATACATACCATCCAAATACCCGTGCTTTCATATCAGCACATCCTTGCATACGAGGGATGATAAAAAATAAACCTGACTGTGGCTGTAATTTGAACAATTTTCAACCTTATACCACAATTAATCGGAAAGCAACCGATAAACTGATATCATATATAATGTGACAACGCAAATAGCTTGTCCGTAACAGCGAATCTTAAAACCATGGTAACGCATACCCGGCGCAGTGCGTAAATTTGCGCTGATGGCAGGCGCTTTATGATACGAATATATTACAATATGGCATATTTAGACTTAAAAATTCACTAAAACGTCATGCGTCATGTCTATGATGTTGTCAGAAAAAATGACGTCATTTAAACAACATTTGCCGTTACAGTCACAATTTTAATATCGCTTGTAGCAATAAGGTTTTTGTTCAAAATGGCGTCGTTCGAACGCATTGAAATACGAGCAATAATAAAATTTTGTCAAGAGGAAGGCGAAACACCATCTAAAACTTACAAAATGATATTGGATATCAAGGGAAAAGCCTCAGTGAGCCGCACACTAGTTTTTGACTGGCATAAAAGATTCAGAGAGGGTATGACAGAGATATCGGACAAGGAAGGACGAGGAAGAAAGACGAAAATTACAGGGACGTTGGTGACGTCAATCGCCGCGACGTTAGAAAAAGATAGGCGATTGACTGTGCGGGCTTTATCTTCAATGTTTGGCATTAGCTATGGGACGGTGCAGTCCATTTTAACTAAGGATTTAAAAATGAGAAAGGTTAGTACATTAGTATATTTTATTTTTTGAATGAAATTGTTAAAAACAAAATTGTTTTTTTATTGCTATCAATGTTTTTATGTTAGCATTTTGTTTACAAGCCACGTTCAAAATCGGGATTACTGTACGTGATATTTGTTTTAATAATATGAGAATTTTGGCCTAAGGCGCATGTTAATATTCTTTTACTTTCCCGTATGTATGATACATTATTATTCAGCAAAACTAAATTATAAAACATATCATGACTTTTTGCAGGTGCACGCACGCTGGGTCCCGTGACTTCTTCAAGACCACGAGAAGGCTCGTCGAGTACAAGATTCCCGGGAGTTTCTGCGCCGGGTAAAAAAGAGATGGTGATCATTTTCTAGGTCGCATAATTACAACAGACGAAACCTTGCTGTGGTTTTATGATCCGGAAACCAAGTCGCAGTCAGCTGTTTGGAAGTGGAGTACTTCACCACCACCAAAAAAGGCCCGCGTGTCAAAAAGCGGCGGCAAATACATGTTTATCATGTTTGCAGATATGCACGGAATGACCCTACAACACGCCGTCCCGAAGAATACCAGTGTTAACGCCGAATATTTTTGCAAGGTTTGTTAATTTATTGAATTGAAATTACATTACATTACATCAATGATAAATGCAGGGTATTTTATCATGTCTTTAAATTTATTGTAAATAAATCATGTCCAACAAAATGCGTAAATCTTCCTTATTTAATTTTATATTCCGAAGAAAAGTAAACTGATTAATAGAATATTTAAAATACATAAACTACATATCAATTACAATCGTATGCAATAAATCACAAATCACGGCTGAAATAAAATTTTACTAAATGAATGAAAAATGAATCTATCATTCTGCAGGTGCTCAGACGCGATCTAGTACATGCTCTTGAGAAGAAGCGACCCGGTGTGCAACTCGAACATTTCATCCTACATATGGATAACGCATCCTCCCATACAGCCGCAGCTACCGACCTAGAAGTAGCCGTGTTAGGTTTCACCCACCTTACTCGCCAGATCTCGCTCCTTTCGACTTCGCAATTTTTCCAGTAATTAAATCACAGTTGAAAGGACAGAAGTTCTCGTCGTTACACGAGCTCTCTACCGCCACCCAGACTATAACTAGGCAGTACGACACCACCTAGTACAAAGATATTTATAAACAATGGATCCATCGGCATCAACGATGTGTGGAACACGCAGGGGCGTACTTTGAGAAGGAGTAAGAAGTTGCGTAAAAGACACTAAACTTATGACGTCGTTAACGTCAAACTTTTGTAATATCTGGTGCGCCGGATCACTCTTCATGTACATACTACATACAGCATAACTTTGTTAAATGTTAATGTTTTATATTAATTATTTTTGTTTCATGTAGCGGATAGATTCCGCCTTATGTTGTGATTTTTAATTATGAAATGCATTAAAACGTTAATGAATCATATACAAAGTCCAGCTAATTTTTATCATCTCTCGTAGATTTACATATGGCGGGACAGATGTACCGATTTACCTATAGCAAAATAAAGTTTCATTTATAGCAATGGAAAATGCATAGGACAATTTGCGCTCATATTCTCTAACCACCAAAAAGTAAGCTGGGCCTAATTAAATGCTATATTAAGTTATTATTTCTCTTTTGTCTTCTGCCGTCTTTTTACTAGCCTTTGAATTGCAGTCCTGAGAGGAACGGCTTAAATATCCCCGGTATAGATATGGATCAACTATTCAGACTATTCAGATCATTAAATCTACAAACGTAATTAGCTTTCAAATTAAACTAAGTTATAAAATAAAAAAGTTATATAGCCTAAAGAGGTGTGAGTAATTCAGACACCGCAAAATTAAACATGTACTTGTTTGTTACTGAGTGCATGTAGCTATTTCTTCTTACAACTATACATTTACAAACGTTTCTGGCCACTCCACCGATGAAAATAGCAGAGTATAACACAACAGAAACACATTCTTTCCGTCTCTGTCTAAGGTTAAAAAATCAAAATTCGTCCACACTTGCTTTTGCGCAGTTTAAAATACAAACTGTTCCGAAACATTCGACAAATAACTTGTACCATTGAGGTTCTCCCACTCTTTTCCCAATTATAAAAAATAACTATTGCAATACATCTTAAGTATTTATTACCATAAATCATAATAATATTGTGTTTTTCTAATTAATATACAAATTAAAGTAAATTGTATGGGCGTGTTTCACAGTTGAAGCATTAAGAGAATTCGTGTAAATCGGAAACTGGAAACACCTGTTCCCGTTCAATCAAAGTAAAGAGAAACGGTTCTCTACAAATTCCAATCTCTTTTCTTAACAGCTATTCAAACGATTTAGTGATCAATTTGTGCCACAATGCACACCTAAGTTTATAATATGCTAATATATTGGTTCAAATAAAAGAAATCACTTTTTGCCCATGTGGTAATAAAGACAAAGTAAAAAAAGAACCAATCCCATTTCTGGAAATATGTAAATAATGTTTATTTTAGTTCATACTCCTTCGGAATTATTCGTAATCAATTAGTATTTGTACCTTGTATCTTTATAAAAGTAGACATGTCATGTTATAGTCTCCACGTGTTTATATCAGACGTAAGCTAACTTCTGAACAATCCAATATTTCATTTCATAAAATTTAGATCTTTCAAATGTACAATTAAACCATAACAGCTTGAAAACAAAGTCAGCAATGCTTGTCTTGTTGCCTTTTTTGTACTTGAATATATTTGACTGATCCAGAACAAGTACCTTCTAAACCTGAAACGAAATGTTGGATGTCAGAATCTCACGGAAATATATTTCAGATGACTTTTGGCCTGTATGATATGTTTATTTCCAGTTCATCATCTACAATTAAACCATAACAGCTTGAAAACAAAGTCAACAATGCTTGTCTTTTTGCCTTTTTTTGTACTTGAATATATTTGACTGATCCAGAAAAAGTACCTTCTAAACCTGAAACGAAATGTTGGATGTCAGAATCTCACGGAAATATTTTTCAGATGACTTTTGGCCTGTATGATATGTTTATTTCCAGTTCATCATCTACAATTAAACCATAACAGCTTGAAAACATAGTCATCATCTAAACCTTAAACATATTTATGCCGTGTAAATTTTAATCAATTGCAAATGTTCAATTGGTTTTTATTAACTTAAAACCTATAATTTAATTATATTAATAAGGGGCGTCTGTGGCCGAGTGTTTAAGGTCGTTGACTTCAAACCACTTGCCCCTCACCGCTGTGGGTTCGAATCCCGATAGGGACTTTGAATTCTTTCATGTGAGGAAGCTATCCAGCTAGCTTATGGAACGTCGGTGGTTCTACTCAGGTGCCCGTTCGTGCCTGCAATAATGCACGGAGGGGCACCTGAGGTCTTCCTCCACCAGTAAAAGCTGGAACGTCGCGATATGACCTATTCTGTGTCGATGTGACATAAAACCCAAAACAAACAAATAACTATGTTAAGGACTAATTGTAATCTAACAAACAACGCCAGTATGTTTGTCGACATGTTCAAACATTCAATAAGATTTTATTTCGTATTTAGATATTAACATGCCTTGAAATATAGATTTTATGTTCTTATATAAGACACCAAACAACTGAAACGAGACACGCAAAAATCAGTAAAAACAACACATTAATCCGTTCAACGTGTTTTTAATTGTTTTCTGATTGTTTTACTGTTTGATTTATTTTGCAATAACATTTCTTCGATGAAATAGGTGACAAATATAAGAAATGTGAAATTATATAAGACTTGATTCCCTGAATCGATACCTGCAAGTAATTTGTGACAACACAAGAAGTGTTATCAGCTTGATGTCTTAAATACTTATAATTATCTAGTCTGTCTTAAGTAGTTAAAACTAAAGATTTAATAAAAAATAAAAAAAACTCGTTTATTATTTAAATGTTGAACGGACATTAATCATAAATTCTACGGTATTTAATATAATTATAATTATTATAACAATATTGCTTTTTGTCACAGACACCAATCCATATACAAAATCTCATTAGAATCCTTATGTTGCATTTGCGCTTGTTCAAAACAATTGAATATACTTCATTCAAACACCAAATCTATTTTTTATCTTACACTGAAGTTTAAAACAAGTTCATCTTTACTTTCAGTTAATGTATTTATCGTTGCCTATTTGAAGTTTATATTGATGCACCTATTATTTTAAACTGTAAAACTGTGAATATAAATGTCCAATTGATCTGTGTGATTTCCAATTAAAACAATTAAAGCTATCAACTTATCATAATTATGAAGTATGCCTAATTTCTTATGATGTAGAGTAAAATGCATGTTCCATATTGTTGCATTATATTTATTCCATGCTCATAGTATAGGTGTAAAAATGCTGTATTATACACATTACATATTTTACTTATTTCTATTTAATAATAAAAGCTGCAGTAAATATGAGGTTTTCAACATTCTATAATGAGGCAATGGAAGGAAAAACAATTTATGTATTATATAATTATGCAAATAAAACAATTTTCAAACATCGAAGAATATGTAAAATGTGTACTGCAAATGTTTGTGCACATTATATTTAATCAATAAATTATATTCATTCATTCCTTATTGGAAAATTTGACTTAGAATTTATAGAAAATAAATTTCTAATTACCTCCCTTTATTTACATGAAATTTTAAATTCGGTTTTATCTTTATAAATAATGCTTATTGGAACTTACAATATTGACAAATCTTATTTTAAGCATCATGTTTATGAAATAAAACCATGAAAAAAATGTGTTACAGGATCTTTTAATCCAATGAGTGTTTTTGTTTTGTTTTGTTTTTTATTTAGAATGTCGTCATTTAGAAATAATTTTGAAAACGAGTAGCAATTTTGTGGATATTCCTTGCATAGAATTTTATCAATGGGGGTCATATGGTCTCACTCAAAATAGACGCTATACATAATAATTCACATAGAAATATGAAACATTGTACATGTATAATAGACTATTTTGCTTTTAACTTTATATTAAGTGTAGAACACAGAATCTAGACATATCCCATTTAAAAGCTAAGTATTCTTCAGACATTTTTTAATTCTAATCATTTCAAAGATAAAGCTCTTTGACGATTAGTGTTAGGAAAGATATATAAGTTAAACGGTATAAATGAAATATAGGCACCCTTATTTACATTCTTACTCGTATCCTGGCATCAAGACAAACTTCAAATGTGTTTGTAAAGTTACATCTAAACACTTGATATCGCTCGTCACCCAATTAAGAGTACACCTTTCTTCTTACATTTTTAAATTTGTTCTGAATAAAATTTAGATATCACACACAAAAAAAAAAACAACAACAACAAGGAACTATTTATAAAAAGGTATTTCTTTTTGTAATTTATCTTTCACCAGATGTCGTTCTAGTAAGATGAATGTGTTGCATGTAACAAAAAATAAAAATATTTTGATTAACCAATAATTGACTTCTCTGTAAATAAATATAACGTTTAAACTTCAATAATAATTTTGATTTCGTTTTAACCTAAATCATGCTACTCAAAAATAAGTATTTTACGATCATAGAATTTAATTTAAGCGATGCTCATAGCTACCGAATAGTACTTAATTATCTAACAAATTGATTTAACAATGCAAGATTCGAAAGCATGGCCTTGTTGGCATTAATGTGTCTACGTTTGTGGAACACTAAACAATTATTAAGTATCATTTTATCGCAATAAAACTTATAATTAAGGGGCAATATATAAATAAAATCCTTATGCGATATTTGTTATTGCTGACATAAGAAAATATAGTTCATTCAACAATAACAAGATTATATCTCCCTTGACACATCTCATCAGTCTACAGTAACTGTCATTTCATAAGGGATAAATTCTATTTAAAATTAGTGTCTGTCTTGTTTGGGTTTTTTAAAAAAAATTATTACTAGTATGCATATTTATGACCGACGAATATTGTATTTGTACAT